CAGAGCCTACTTCGCATTCTCTCTCTCCCTCTCTCTCTGCCCCGAACCTGCTCTCTCTTTCTTAAGATAAATAAGCTTAAAAAAGGAAAAAGAAGGACTGAACGTGCTTATTGGCAGTGCCTGATTCAGAGGAAGTCATAGCAAGTGTTAGCCACGGCTACACAATATTATTATTACCTCCCTTCCCAGCTCCTAGAAATCTACTTGGTCCCAGACGGCTACCCTGTTTATCCAAACAGGGCCTCCAGAGGCCCCTGAACTCCCGAGCCTCCTCCGGCCTACAGCAGCATGGAGCTGCCTGAGTCCTGCCAACATAGCTAATGCCATCTGCCCCTGAACTTGGTCTGTGTTTTCTAGTCAATTGTCTGCACGTCCTCTCTCCACGGATGGCTGGGACATCAGGCTCAGCTTAGCCCGAAAGTCCCCAGAGGGCAGGGAACATGGCGGTGTGAACTCAGCATGAAATGACACAGGTTTGGGATGACAGAGAAGCCAGTGACATCCTGGGGCTTGCTCACATTGAGGGGATGTCAGTAGGACTGTGGCTCACTGACCCCGTTTCCTTCCCCGTCATTTGGCGGAGGTTAAGGGAGAATGCGTCGAGCTTGAACAGTGTGCAGCCGACACGGGGAGTAAAGGCAGCAACGGGAAGGCAGGGGAGTAACACTAGCAGAGCATGACTTTTTGACAAGCCTGGATTCAAATCCTGGCACAGCCCCCTAGCTCTGTGTCCTCGGACGGGCGATTTCATGCAACCTCTCTGAGCTGGAGTTTCCTCATCTATAACACAGAACAAGAGTACCACCTACAAAGGGCTGTGTAAGGTGCTTATGAAGGACTTTATGTGAAGGATCCAGTACTGTGCTCTGCACACAGCAGGTGTTCAATAAATGGTAGGCATTGTTACCATCTGGTCATTTGAGTGTTTGGGACATTGGAAGGCAGGGGTCCCGGCTTCAATTTACCTGCTAACTAACCAGGCAGTCTTGAGTCTTGAACAAGTCTGTTCCCTTCCGAACCTCATCTCTTCCCACCGAAAATGAGGCCATATCTGGGTGATATATAAAGTTCATTAGAGTTCTGACTTCCTGTGTTCTTTGATTCCAAGTCATTTGTAGCCCTGGGGTACTTGGATTTGGCCTGAAGCTCCCAGAAGAGCCCAGTGGGCTTGCACCACTGTGCTGGAGCCACCTAAAAGTGCAGAACAAATTCCTCTCCCAGAGTCCAGTGACCAGACCTCTCCCCTGCCCTGGAGGAGGGCACACCAGGTTTGCAAGTTTTCTCAGAAGGGGACTCTATCCCCAGTCCTAAATCCACACGAAAACATGAAAAACTTAATTATGGCTTAAAGATGGCGTCAGCTCAACAAGGGAGAGGAAAGGAGAAAGGCAAAACAACCCCAGCATAAGGCCAAACTCCACATTGCCCCTCCCATTCTATATATATCAACCCTTGTGTGAGAAGCAAGGCAGGGAGGAGGCTCTGGCTTGTTCCCCAATGACACATGCTATGATGAGAGAAGATCCCCTCATTATGTGTCCACTTAGCGCTCATTCAAACATGCCACAAAGTGGAAGTAATTAAGGAATCTGTGTCAACCTTGGGGCAACCTCTCCTAGTCCTCCTGCACACGGCCTCACACATGTGGGCACACAGAAATGTCAGCACTGGCTTCCCTTGGCTTTCCAAATTAAGATCTGATGGTGGCCTATGCAATGTTTTTGCGCTGAGTGTTAGCAGATGGGACCAGCACAGGACCCTGACCAGCACAGCCAGGTGAACCAGGACTGGGTCAGGGCACACACACCAACGCCCATGGTGGCTGGGGGCAGAACACCTTTGGGACATAGGAAGGCCAACCCAACACCGCTGTTTGGTACCGAGTCATCATGGGAAATTCTCTTCCTGTTCTACAGAGCTTATTCCACCTCGTTTGGATTTTATCCCCAGGCAGCAGAAGTAAGAAAGTAGTACAAGGCTGAGAAAGGTCTTACCCTTTTCCTGCTCCCCTCAAGGCTTCTGTGTCCCCCCCCCCCCCACAGGTGCCTGGGTGCCAGAAAGGACCATATTGGGAAGAGGGCAGAGAAAGGCTGCTTGCTCCTCCTCAGCCGGCAAGAAACAGGCCCACAGAGGGTAGATGATTCCATAACCACTGACTTTCGATTCCTTCCTCCCTCACTCAATTCACCATTTCACCAAACACTGACCAGTAGGCACGGTGCTACGTCATGGGGAACAAGATGGGCTCACAAACAAGAAGGACATCTGAACCACACAAGAAAGCAGACCGGCCCCTTGTCGTCTACAAATCGATATGGGAATCACAGGATCGATAACTGAAATGACTGGGCTGGGTTCTGTGAATGACACCGATATAGGATACGGCACTCTATTCTCCAAGGCACCCAAGTATCCTTCTACAAATTGGACAGCATAACCCCGGCGTTTTCCTCATGCTGCAGGGCCTCGTCAGGGAAGGACTGACTGGGCTGTCCTATTGACTCCTACAAGGGCAGGTCACCGGGTCACTGGGGATGCCAACAGAACTTGCGGGTCAGGCTCACTGGAGCGAATCCCTAGACTATGAACGCCTTGAAAACAGGTCAAAGTCGTATTCATCTTTATACATAAATGCCATTTTAAATTTT